TGTGTGCCATGTCCCAATTAGTACATAAACTATACACCCCCCCCCAAGTCCCCAGCTGTCCTTATAGGAACTAACAACCATGGTTTATCTCAGTGTTATGAAACATGCATGACAAACCTATAGGTAAAACTGCTCAGGACTTGTGTAGCATCCTCAGCAAAGTCAGGGCCAGGCTTCTGACTGCCTGTCCCACCTGCCTGAGCCTGCCACTTTTGGCTGTTGGTTGCCTGCAAAGGGTTACCTCACCTCTAGGACTGTCTCCCGTGACATGGTTTAGGGAGGAAAAGGGCACAATGAAAGGCAAAGAACAAGGCCAGTCAAGCTGGCCTTTTTTTTAATCAGGAAAACAATAGCTTTCCTGGTAGTGCCTCCGGGAGGCTTTCACTTGGTCCTCTCTGGTCAGTGTATCATGTGACAACAGAGAGCTGCAAGGGAGTCTGGGAGGTGTTTTAATGGGCACATTGCTGCCCCAAACAGAATGGGTAGTAAGAAGAATAGATATACATGCATGCATGCTCCATCTGTGTTACTTAGCTGCTCATTTGACATATATTGCTCTTTAACCCTCCCATATTGTCTCCTCACCTAAGGTAACTATCATATGCATTTTGTATATAAGAAACCATAGCAAAGAGATGATAAACAACCAGGATAACCCAGCTGGTGCCTGACCCAGCCAGGGTCTAACCTCACTGCCTCCCTAACCATCTTCCAGTGTCCTAAGATGAACCAACAGAACTTTATTGAATGGCTTCAGCTTAAAAAAAAAAAAAAAAAAAAAAAAAAGCTCCACTATTCATTACTATGGTGTACATAAAACTACTAGTCAGAAATGGATGTTACGCACACCTTACCTATATCTTCATTAGTTTTTGGAAAATAAAGATTCCCAAATGTTTATTCAATCTTTAATATTTAATGTCCTTCCCCTATAGTTATATCATAATTTTTTCACATGTATTTGTTCCTCAGCTTGATTGATATAATTGAAAAAAATTGTATTAGGGTGTCCCATGTGATAATTTGGTAAACATAAACAGTGTGAAATGATTGCTTTAAGTTCCTTAACACAGCGTCACCTAACATAGCTACCAGTTGTATGTAGGGATTTTCAGGTACTGTATTTCACAACACAATACCGTTAGCTATAGTCACCATTCTGTATGTTAGATCCCCAGAACTTACTCATCTGAAAGTTTGTGCCCTTTGACCAAGATCACTCATTTTTCCTATCTACACCCCTGGCAACTACCATTCTCTCTGCTTCCATGAGTTTGACTTGTTAGATTCCACATACAGGTAAGATTATGCAGTATTTTTCTTTCTGTGGCCAGCTTATTTCACTTAGCATAATGTCCTCCAGCTTTATTCACATTATTGCAACTGGCAAAATTTCCTCCTTTTAATGACTGAATAATATTTCATTACATGTGTGTATATATAGATATAGATACATAGTTAGAGATACATAGATACAGATACCACATTTTCTCTGCCCATTTATCTGTTAATGAACATTTAGGTTATCTCCATATGTTGGCTGTTGTGAGTAAGGGCAGCCACGGACATGAAAGTGCAGCTGTCTTTTTGAGGTACTGATTTTATTTCCTTTGATATATACCAGATTTGTGATTTTTTGATATGGTAATTCCATTTTTTATTTTTTGAGGAACTTCCATACTGTTTTCCATAGTGGCTGTACCAATTTACATTCCTACCACCAATGCTCAAGAGTTTCCTTTTCTCCATGTCCTTATCAGTATTTATCTGTTTTTGTTTTTTTTTTGATACTAGCCATCCTTGCAGGTGGGAGCCTATATCTCATTATGACTTTTATTTGTGTCTCCCTGATGATTAGGGATGTTGACTAGTTTCTCATTCACCTGTAAGCTACTTGCAGGTCTTCTTTTGAGAAATATTTATTCAGAACTATTGTTCATTTTTAAATACAAAAAGATTAAGAAAACATTAATGGACTTTAATACATAGCAATAGAAATTTCCCAAAATGAATCATTAAGAATGAATTTAGAAAATGAAAGCATCCTAAGTGAGCATGGGAGAATTTCCAGGGACTAACACAGGTGTAATTAGATTCTTTGAAAGAGAAAAAAAAAAAGTATGTTTAAAAGAAAGAAAGGTTGAGGGACTGTGGCATAGCTCAGTGATAGAGCATTCACCTAGTATGCGCAGTCAATCCTCAGGACCAAGGAGGGAAAAAAATAATTGCTTCAAGTTTTCCAAATACAATAACTAAACACAAAATTGAGAAACTGAACACACAGAACACAAGCAATGACACCAAGACACACCCTACTCAAAGTGCTTAAATCCAGAATAAACACAATTTTGTTTTTCTTTACAATATTTAAGCTTTTTCTTTCTCCTGTTCATTTAGGATATCCAGTGCAATTTTAAATGAAAGGGCTGGGAGCACATATTTTGCTTTTTGCCCACTGTTGGGGGAAAACATTCAGCATTCCACCATGGAGGATAATGTTAGCTGTGGGTTTTCCATGGCTGCCTTTTCTCTGAATGGGGAAGGTCTCTCTAACTCCCAGTTCACTGGTTTTCCTGGAAGGTGTTGGAGCCGAGTGCTCTTCATTCTCTTGTTGGCCATTGTCCTCTTTGCAGAAATGTCTGTTCAAGTCCTTCACCTCTCATCAGACATGTGGTTTGCAAATGATTTCTCCCCATTCCCTTGGTTGAATTTTCATTTTATTGAAGGCAAAAGCTTTTCAGTTTGATATGGTGCCACTTTTAAAAAATTTTTATTTTTCTCTTTTTGGGGTGGGGGGGCTGTCATAGTCAAAATATTCCAAGACCAGTGTCAAGGAGCTTTTTCTCTATGTTATCTTCTAGAAGTTTTATGGTTTCAGGTCTTGTAAATCTTCACCATTTTGAGTTAATTTACTACATGATATAATGGTCCAATTTCAACCTTTTGGATATATGATAAGATCAAAATATAAGGTGAAAGTTTAACTTTGATACATTTATTACAGTAAAAAAACACATTGGTGTTAATTTCCCTCAAAATACTACCCTCTCACTTTGAACACAATTATCTTATCATTCTTGCCACTTTCTGAAGCAGTTCTGAAAGTTTTCTTGCATGACTATCTTTATTATGTGTGATCAAAAATATGGTGAATGCTGCTGCTGCGTGCCATTCAATAATAGAAAGGCAGGTTCATAAAAACATTATGGTATGTCCTCATCCACTTATTCATTGGATCTCCTGGCACCATGTAACTTCTCACTCTTCCCTAAAGTCAAACTGATCATGAAAGGTGAACATTTTGAATTGACTCAGGACATCGAGGCAGACATGGCAGCAAATTAAATACATTCACACAAAAAAGGACTGCTTTGGGAAGTGATGGGCTAAGTGTGTATGAAGTGAGAGGGAGTATTTTGAGGGGGATTAATGGCAATGTGTCTTACACTGGAATAATTATTTTTAATTTAAACATTCACCATGTTTTGCAGTCACACTTCACATAGATTCTAGCTATCTGAACGCCATTTTTTTTTTAAAGTTATATTGTTTTTATTGGTGATTCTAAGTATATGTGTTTATAACATTTAAAGTGTGACAGGTGAATTTAACATATTAAAAGTTTTATAGCATCTGTTCAGAAAGGATTATATACTATACAAACTATTCCAGTCATACAAAACCATTTTTCAGTGTCTTTTCAACTGAGAAGAATCCTATTCAGCACAGTTCTCCTGAGGTGGTTCATACTGAGCAAGCTTTGCTTTCAGTTTTTTATTTTCTTCTATAGTAGCTTCATATTTCTTTTTCATTTCTGCCAATTCTAGGCGAAGCAGCTCAGTTTCTGGATTTTCTGGGGTAGCAGCTCCTAAGTGATGCTTTAAAAAATCCAAAGCACTATTAGGTTTCTCTGGTTCTTCATATAAAGCTACCAACACCTTGGTCAGCGTGTCCAGCACCCCCGACTTCTCCAAGTACCTCCGGAACTGCTCGCGCTTCGAGTCAGCGGCTTTGTAATGGGCCATAGTGACAGGGGCAATGGCATAAATGGCGCCGGAGACCGTGGCTGGCAGGCTCGGAGCAGCACTGCTCATGCCCTGAACGCTATTTATTGAACAAACTGCTCTCCTCAATGGATAGTCCTGGCACTCCTGTCAAAGACTGGTTTACCATGTACATGTAGGTTTATTTCTGGGTACTCTATTCTGTCACTTATAGTTAAGCTCCTTTTTTTCCTTAGGGCTAAGATCTTACGCATGTATAATTTAAACCTGGTTTCTAAAAGTGCTCATCCTGAAGTCATCTAGAAATCCACTGGCAGATGATGAACCCGTGGTAGAGGAGGAAACTCGGGGGGTACCTAGATTCAGGAAGAGAAACATACCAGTGACCTCAGCTGGATCAAGGAGGAGGAGGTACAAAAAGCAGATCTGAACTCGCTGCATCTTGTGAGGATTCCACTAGAGTCCGTGACTAGGGGAAAACGTGTTCTAAGAATTCAGGATGTAGACCAAGGAAGATGGAACAGTTATCTGAGAGTGAAGGGCCTGGGTTGATGGGGAATGGGTCTACTTATTACTTACAAAAAGGGTTTAGTATTTGTAAAGATTCCAAGCCAAACCCAGACGGGTTGAACCAGAACAGAGGTAAGAAGTTAGATATTTAAGCTAGACTTGTGCAGGCTCCGGTGTGTACAGCATTTCATCACAAACCCACACATCACAGTAGAGTTGAACTTGCCTTCTCAGGTAGTAACCAAGTATATAATACTTTGGGCTTCTCCCTATGTGGAGAGGCAGGGACCACTTCCTCCCTTGGGTGATGATAGCAACAACAAGTAATCTGGGAGCCCATTTGCAATGTTTAATCCCGGCTATTTTCAGTCTGTAAACAGAAACACCGAGTACAAGCACTGGGCCCTGCAAACCTTACAGAGCCAGTAGCGCCCTGGTTCGAGGCTACCCAGGTCCTCACGCCTCCCCGTTTCCCTCTCCCACCAGGAGTCCGAGGGTGTCTCCTGCCACTACTGGTCGCTGTTTGATGGTCACGCGGGGTCCGGGGCCGCTGTGGTGGCATCGCGACTGCTGCAGCACCATGTCACAGAGCAGCTCCAGGATATCGTGGAGATCCTGAAGAACTCAGCCGTCCTGCCGCCCACCTGCCTGGGCGAGGAGCCGGAGAACACGCCCGCCAACAGCAGGACTCTGACGAGAGCCGCCTCCCTGCGCGGTGGGGTGGGCGCCCCGGGCTCGCCCAGCACCCCGCCCACGCGCTTCTTCACTGAGAAGAAGATCCCGCACGAGGGCCTGGTCATCGGGGCCCTGGAAAGCGCCTTCAAGGAGATGGTAGGTGCCGCTGACCATCCTGAGCCTAGGGGTGGACAGTCACTTACCCAAATCCTTTCCTTTTGAAAGATGTTCCAGCCCCGTTCCCCCTGCATGTCTCACCTTTATAACAGGACTCCCATTCTCAGTAAAAGTTGGCACTGAGTTGAGAGTTCCTGGCATGAGTGCTGCCAAAAATTAAAAAATGATGAAAGCAACGGCTAGTGCATGAAGGCCTGGCTTATGAAATGTATGTCTTATCGCTTCCTTTTCATCAAACTCCTGTCAGTGCCAGCTGGTACAGTCCGAATTCATCGAAATGGTTGACATCTGGTTTGCACCTGTGTGTGCAGTCCAGGTGTTTGGGGAAGCATTGTTGGTAAAGTGCTCAAAAGTACTGTCTATATGCCAAGCTGATCTAGAAGAGCTATTTGGTGATGGCTGGTAATGTGATTCACACAGCTGAAAAGACAGGCCAGGAGAGTAGAACCCAGGGGGGCCAGTATTCGAGAATCTTTTGTTTTACCTGAACACATGGATTTGCTTGTGCATTCAGATCTGAACAGGTTTGTTGCGGGAATGTAGAACCCTTCCTATGCTCTGGAGAATTTACGAATTTGCTCCAGCAGACGATGCCACCGCTCTCAGGATCAGCTCTTACAATCCCGTGCTGAGGAATGCACAGAGGAGGTCCCTGGGCTTTGTCCTCTGTGACCTCCTCCCCTCTCTGAGCTCACCTTTTACTGAGGCAATTATTGTGGCTCCAAAGATTTTCTTTCCTGAGCAGAACCCAGCCTCCAGATAAAGAGTAAGGGTTACTTAAGAATGTTTATAAGGACTTGAGTAAGGCAAAGGGAAGGCAGCGACCTTAAAACCTGGAGATTAAAAAGTGATAACAAGTATCTGGTGAAGCAGAGCAGCTGCAAGCATCTCACTGGAGCCTCATGTTCAGTGTGCACATTGGAGGCGTTCACAGTGTCAGGTCATCTGCTAATAAGAGGAGGAAAGCAGAGGGTAACCATGAACATTGCCATTGGATTTGTTTGTAAGGAAAAGTAGATAATACCTCATAGTTGTAGCTGCTTGTTATTTAAACTCATCCCTTGTGTGATCTCAGCTTTTCTCTCCTGTCACAAACATAGTATTTACCTTTTGATCAGTAGGTACTTAGAGATACACCTTTATCTGAGGTGTCCAATAGCCTGCAATTCTGCAATCCCTAAAAAAAAAAAAACTACAACAACCTCGGAAGCTAGAAAAGCTGTTTAGAAAAGAAGGAATTAAGAGTAGGAAAGCTGACTCCTACTAAGGCTTGGTATAAAATTTTGTACACTGCCTTTCATCTGTATGCTGATGTGTTTCCAGACATTGAGGCACACAATGCTAAGTATTTAAATGAGGCAACAATTTGATGGTGGGCTCTCCCTGTTATGGAGGAAAAGGTCAGCTTACATGGACGTGAAAACATGAAGAAAATTCTGGAAGTTTCATTACCTTCATATAATTGCCACAGGGTGTCTTCTACTGGGAATGGCTGTATTCTCAGTTTCAACCACTAGGGGCCAATGTCACATCAACTCTGGTCTCCACGTGGGTTTTAGGCTGCTCCTATCCATTAATGGGTCAAGATTGCTAGCAACAGTTTTAGTTCAGAGCTTCATTCAGAAAAATAATCAAAAGCCTCATGCTTGTATTTCAGCTTTTTTCAGCCTTAGGCTGACTTTTTAAAAATCAGTTGCCAACACACACACACACCACATACACACATAAATATGCAAATTGGTTGGTTCACTTTTTTTGTTTTGAGACAGTCTGACTATGTAACTCAGGCTGGCCTCAAACTTGCAATGATCCTCCTGCCTCAGCCTCCCACGTGCAGGGATTGCAGATGTGTGCTACCACACTCAGCTTCACTTTTAATTAATTCAATCAATAAATATTTGTGGAAAACCAACTAAATTCAGACCTGAATGGGAGTAGAGCATTGAGCAAGATAAGAAAAACCCATGTATTTAACAAGTAAAATAAATGGCAGGAGGCTTGAGAGGGGAAACACCGGGCAAAATGAGAATCTGGAAAAGAGGTGAAGGAAAGTGATGGTGAGGGAAAAACCAGGAGGGCCTGGGAGAGTGCTCTGAGCTTAGGAAACTGCGTGAAGAACCACATCAAAGACAGAACCTGGGTAGGCCAAACCAACAAGTTGGCATCTGGTGTAGTTAGAAGATAGATGCAAGAATAGGAATGACTCAAGGTGAGTTAGACAGGCTAAGTGGAACCCACCTGTTGCAGCATAGCGTGTTACATGCTGAGTATCCTCTGTCCGAAATGCTTAGAACTAGAGGGGTTTCTGATTTCGGGGGTTTTTTTCAGGTTTGGGGATATCTGCACATACATAAAGAGGATACTTAGGGATGGGATGGGCCCCGTCCTCGTCACTTTTTCATCCATGAGAGATAATACCTGAACTCGGGACTTAAAGGAGGAGGGGGATTTATTTTGCCTCAGTTTCAGAGGACTCAGTCCATGCATGGGCGGCTGGCTCCAGGGGAGAAACAGTGTGGCAGCAAGGCATAATGGAGGACGGCTGTTCACATCATGGCAGCCAGGAAGTAGAGAGCATGGGGAGAAGCCAGGGAGGGAGATAAACCCTTCCAGGTCCCCAATGCCTCTAACCAGGCCCCACCTCCAGCAGCACACTCAGCTGCTGAACTCACCAGTGGATGGATCTACTGCTAAGCATAGCATCCCCAAAGCCCTTCCTCTGAGTGCATGAGAGTTTTGGGTGAATCTAAACCATTATTGGCCCCAAGTGTGAGCCTGAAATTTATTTGTTTCATAAACAATTCATATAAGTAACCTGAAAATAATTTTATACAATAGTTTAATAACTATAAACGAGGCAAAGTTCCATAGTGTTGAAATATCCATTTGTAGTGTCATGTTGTTGTTCAAAAAGTTTCAGATTTTGGAGCATTTCAGCTTTTGGCTCTTTGAAGTAGGAATGCTCAGCCTGGGAGAACTTTTAGCTTTAAGCCATATCTCTTCTCCAAATTCATTGCTTTTGAGTCCATTCCCCCAGCCCTGGCTTCCTCCTCACACTGTTTCCTGCAGATTGTTTCTGTCCCCCAACATGCCTGCAGTTCTTTGGTTCTCTTGATGCTGGATAGGATGTCTATATCTCATGCTTTTCCAGAGTCTCAGCCTGTTGTCCCAGGGTAATTTCTTTTTTTTTGTACTGGGGATCAAACTCAGGACCTTGCACTTGCGAGGCAGGTGGCAGAACCACTGAGCTAAATCCCTGGCCCAGGGTAATTATTAATAATATCCCTTTTTTACACTCAGAAGTGTCCCTGTTTTGTGATAAGTCTTATGTTTACCATAATCACAGAGAGGTACTGTTGTTTTTCTTTGTTTCGTTAGGGACTTCTGAAGCTCTAATTTCATAGAAATCCTGCCCAACTTAATCATTCAGTTGTTCAGGTTGAGCTTCAGAACTGACAACACAAATTATACCATGTGGTCTCAACATAATAGCCTGAAAGGCCATTGTCAACTCATGTGAAATATTTTTTCCTCCTCTCAGTATTAGTATTTTGAGAGTCACTGACTCAAAGCAAACCTTGGATTTGTGGGGAGGGATGCCCAGCATACATACAGTTTCCTTATCTTGTTGACCTGATCTGGTGGCTCCTCTCCAGCCCTTCCAGAGAGGAGCGGCTTTGGAATTTCCAGGCCATTCCTAAACTGTTTCTTCCCACAATCCCCAGCCACTTTTTAGCTTTCCTGTCTAGGAGGAAAGCTAGAGGTGTTCTTTATGTAATGCAGGGTTTGTGCCATTCTAATCTCCAATGTTAGGAAAATTAATTATCAACTAAGATTGCCAAGTAAGTCTTTCAGCTTTGTGGCTCTCTTGTTTTCTCTTTCACTTTCAGTCCCTAAAGACCAGGACTGAAGCCTGTGACTTGTTTCATTGATGCCATCCCTGCAGCTATCACTCCTGAGATATAGAGTATCACTTACAGTATCCCTAAAGGTGAAGCTTCCCCTTCTCTGGGGGTTTGCTTTATTTATAGTATTCAATATTGTGAAATATATTCAATAATGTGAAATTATTCTTGACCTCTCCCCCCCGCCCCATGCTTTTCTCAGTCACTAGTATTTATTAAGCTTACATTTTATAATCAACATTCCCCTTCTAGCATCACAGAGAATGGAAGTAAAAGGTAAAATCTCTCTGGGGACATTTCTAGTTACACACTATAGGAATATAGAGGTATGCCATATCTCATTTGTTTTGGTGTTCTAATGACATTGAAGGAGATTGTGTAATGTTGATACACCAGTAGTCTGAATGGGACCATCTGTTAAAGATATTCAGAAACACCAAGCCAGATCACGTAGGTACTATTTAGAAGAAACAGTAGATACTATTTACAAAACACAGACTCTCAGAACAGAGAAAAAACATGCTTTGAATAAGGGGAGATGGTAGTAGTTTCACCAAATGATATAAGCTCCTTTGAAAACATTTCATCTTTGATCCTTGGGTTGCCTGGCACAGCATGGGACTTGTGGGGAAGGTGACCTCTGACCACTGGTCCTTTAATACTTACTGCACATGCTGTCAGAGGTAGGTTTGCCCTACCACTCCCTTGCTGTGTCTTGTTGGATCTTCCCTCCTAGAGAGAAGGCTCTGTACCCAATTCTTCCTGTATCCACTATGGAAAACAATCCATGGCCTCTAAAGGACACAAATCTCTGGAACTTTTTGACTTATTTCCACTCTACTTTTCTATGATGCTTTGTAACAGTGGCTGGCTTAGCAGCTAAATTTTGTCACCCTTTATGTTTAGGTTGCTCCTTGGCCCAGGACAGCCAATATGAACAAGATAAATCCCTTCTAAATTCCAGTTTCAAATCTCCCTATTTCCTCACCTTCCAAAACAAATTGTTAACTAGACAGTATCTCTGATTCCCAGAGGAAGTCAGTTCCAGTGCCAGGGTCATGACAAAGGCCTTTGCCTTCCAAGGAATCAGAACCACATCAGCAGTGGTTAGCCATTTAGCCTGTCACCTACTGAGTTTGAGTTGGTTTGAGCCAGGAAGATATAATCCTGTCCTATTTCTTTTTCAGTGCAAGTGTAGATTCCCTGCCATGGTGAGAGTGTTCTAGAAGTTTGATTATTAGGAAGGAAGGGAGGAAATGGGAATATTTTAGCTTGTAAATCTACCATACATCTTCCTACTACTCAGTAAATGGTTGGAAATAGCAAGCAGGTTGGCTTTGTTGGTAAAAGCCATATAATGATCTTGCGATGAAAAGGAAGAGAATGAAAGCAAAGTTTATTTGTAGTTTATAAATCCTGATTTAAAAAATATCCTAGCATAATAATGGTAAGTCAGGAACTTGGATGTCTGCCTTTAAACTAGAATTTTGTTTTGTCCTTGTTTTTTTGTTAGAACAGGAAGTTCCTTCAGGAAAGAATGAGCATGCAGTTCCATAGCAACCAGCAGGCGGCAATGCTAGGCAGTACTGGTTGTGTGTGTGGTTTTACGGGTTTTTTTTCCTTTTTCCTCATTGCCTGGCTGGCAGATGGCCTTGTTCTCAGAATAAACCAGGATGAGACCCGGATACTAAAACCATGGAGAATCTTATTATTTGTGACTGACACTATTATCGATGTGCTCAGAACCATATTTTAACCCGGCTACGGGGAGCTGCCAGGTCCTGTTGAAACTACCCAACACTTGCGTACTTGTGCTGACTGCTGTTGCTTTTTCGTTTTGCAACCTGAAAATTGGTAGGAAACAAAGACTGACCCTCAAGTTGAGTCATGTGTGGGATGTTCAGATCAAATGACAACCATTCTAGGCAATATAATTTTCTTCCTTCCAATTCTTTCCAGTTGAATCGGTCTCATTTCACACATATCTCTATTCCTTCTCTGCTTTCACTCTTCCCTTGCAACAAAAAGGAGAAAATAAAATCTCAAATCTTAAAAATTGGATCTATTCTTTGATTTAGAGATAAGTCTAGTTTAAATGTAATATTAAAGCAAGCGCAGCACAGAATACAGTAACTCAGTTACTAAGTAGAAAGTTTTCATGAAAGGTATCTGGACCCTTCCTTTAGCAAATAAATTATTCATCATATTAATTGAATCTTCTGAGTCGAAGTGATTCTTTAAACCTTACTTGAAAGCAGTGATACTGTGTGGATGTGTTTTGCTAGTAAGCTATTCTAGACTTATGTCTTGAAGTTCATTGGCAGCTAAAATAGAAAAATATTCCAAATAAGTTGCTGCTTAACACAAAGCAGTAGGCAGTTTTTCTCATGATTTCACTGATTTGTGAAAAAAATGCACAAAATTTAAGGTTTTTAAAAAAAATATGTATGCATTTTTATTTTTTACCTAGAGTGTAAAAAACTTAAGCTAATTTGAAAGATTGAGGGCTTAAGGGAAAAGGCAGTAAATTCAATGGTAAATATATCTTTATTGACTTCATTTATCATGTTTAATCTGATAGTAAAAGAACCACCCAGATGGTCCTTTTAATGTTCCTTTCAGTACTAAGATTTTGTGAAACATCTTTTAAAGAGGAGTAGGTGGTGTATGTAGGAAAAAATAAATGTGCTATTTTGGCTTCTAGGGAGGAGAGGAGGGAAGCAATTATTTTTAGAATCTGTTCTAGTTGCACACAGTTTTATAAGAAATAGAAAAGTGTGTTTTAATGTCAGTGAATCCTTCAGGGGATGAAGTCTGCAGAAACACATCTTTCAGATCCTCATGATTGCAGACAGCATGCTTGTAATTGATGTGTACATGTGTGTGCACACGTGTATATTCCCTCATGAATGTGGGAGGTGATGAGGCATGTACATATTAGCCAAATTTCTTGGATAAAAGGTACACTTTAAAGTACACTTTAGTCCACTTTTTATGAGAAAGTGCTGGCGAATTTAGTATTCATTCCTCACTCAGGGAGCTGCAGAGGGAATGAAAACAAAAAGATGAAACAATGAAATTAATTAGAAAAAAAATACTGACCAATGCTGTTAATATAATTGTAAGAGATTAACTGAGTAAACTGACTAGAACGTTCCCCCTAACATTAATGGCAATATGACCTGTTCCCTAGCAGAATATTTTGGTGTTCCACACTCTACCTTGATTTTTTTTTCCCTGATGACTAAATACTTTTAAAATTAGATTTTCTTGTGTTGGAAAACATGATAAGTAATACCATTATTTACAGTGCGAAATAAATGTTTCCCTGAGCACCAGGGGAATTCTTTGCTATGAACAACATTTTTACATGGACATTGTATACTGTAGGATTCTTCTCCTTTTGGATTGCACTAATAATTCTCTTAAGCCCTTCGAACATCATTCACATTCTAGTCCATATACAGCATGTGAGCAATTGGGTACTCAAAGAATTTTTAATAAAAATTGTCCTTTTTTAGACTTTAGCTATTCAAACAAATATTGATTCTGGTTGTGAAAAGATAATTTTTGTACCTAGAGAAGTTCCTTCCAATCTATTAAAAATAATAATTTGGATGTGGACTTGGTTACAGCATTTTATATATTGATTTTATATGAAAAGTACATGTGCCATAATATCAGCTTTAGGAGTTATTTAAATAAAAAGTTTTAATAGATATACCATAATGGAGTTTATGGGTGGGATTGTTGGTTTTGTTTTTATATTTTACAGCTTACACACAAATACATTGATATCTTGATTTTTTTCTTCTCTCTCTTATTTTCTTGAGAGAATCCTTCCCATCTGACTTCCAGCCCCCTCTTTCCCTTCACCCTCCAACCTCTAACATCTTTGTGTAGGATCTGATAGCCATTCATTCACTCTTGTCTATTGACTCCATTAAATGGAAGCAAGGTTTCCTGCTTAATCATTAACTTGGTGAGCATTTGTATGATAAGCATTTCATTTGTGAATTATGGACTTCACTTTTCATATTAAAGCAGAAGTAAGGTGGTAGTGAGGTATTTGGGAAACACTGCCATTTTTTAGTGCATTTCTTTACTTGTCTATTTAATGGACATTTCTTAAACTCCCATTTACTTGGCCCAGTGTGGGTGTTGAGGGTCTAAATGAGTAAGAAAAGTCACTGCTCTCAGTCATGAACTGTCGGGGATATGGAAAGAATCTACATGGGCTGTTAAGTCCCCCACGCATGCCATCTAATCTAATACAACAATCCCATAAGAAAGCCAGTTTATACAGAGTTTAAGTAACTGTAAAACATCTAGTGTAGTCCTGTGAACATAGTCCTCATGCTTGACCCTTTTGCACCTTTGATGCTGCTGTCTTCCTCCTTATTAAAGTTCCTTCTTGTTTGCCCTTGAACTACCACATCCCATGCACACATACATCCTTACTCCCTCCCCATGGTTCCCCAGATCCTCTCTCCCTTACCCAGCCCACTCCTTCTATGTTAGTTTGTCCTTGGTCTGGTCTTTGCATGTTTTCTTTACTTACTCTTTAGCCAGTACACTACCTCTAATCCCCTGCTGTATCCTCAGTTGAGACTCTTCTGTTTGCAGTTTCCCACTGGTAATTTGTCTGTCTTCTTATCTTTGACCCCTTCATCATAGCAGTTGCCAGTAGAATGTTGGGTTACTGGAACTCATTCCTCACCACCGCCGCCACCACCACCACCACCACCACTATTCTAGAGGACCCTGGCTGAAGCAGCTCTTACTTTGTGAGTTTCCAAGACACACAAAAGTGCCTGGCCTTTAATCTGCTAACTGCACCATCAGAAATCATCCAAGGGCTGTTTCTTCCTCTTCCCATAATTTTTACCAAACCCTGTTCTCCTACCCTCTGCCCCAACAAGAGTAGATAACTTTTAGCTTTGATGTTCAGTGTATTTTTCTCATTCAACACATACTTTTCTGAGCACACAGAACCCTTGCTTCTGTTGCTAACACAGTTTCACCAAGGCATCTGTCTTGTTGATGAACATATGTCAATATAAGTGTTGATCTGTTTCTGATTTTCTTGGGGATGCCTTATTAGGTGGCAGCTAACAATAGTCTTTGGAGGAGGAAAACCAGATTGCCATCCAATCTCTTATCAAGTGACTAAGGGCAATCTACCCAACTTCTGTGCATCTGAACAATGAATTTAATGATGGTGCCAAGGATGAAATGAGATTCTGTAGTAAAATGCCCAACACACTGGTTAATGAGGATTAACTTCTCTATGAACGTTGGCTGTTACCATTATGAATGTGTCGCCGTTATGAATTAGTGTCTGTTGGAAAAGGAAAAGTCAGATCAGAGTTCAGAAGTTGTATGTTTGATCTATAAGTCAAGGATTGACTCCTGACTGTGTTGAATAGAAGACAGTTCTTCAAGTCACCTCTTTTATCCAGCTATAAAAGAAACTATTTATTCGAGGCTTTGGAGTTTAAAAGATTGGTAAGATCCAAGTACTTGGCATCCTCAGATTCTTTATTCTGTTTTCCACGAGGTAGCTCAGGCAGTCTATACAAAGACTCAGTTTTCTGTGAACTGTGATATTTACTGAATATGATTTGCATTTTATTCTTCTCATTTTTGTCTGATTGTATGTGTTGTCCTTTTTTGTTTTTTGTCTTGTCTTGGGCCTGCAGGTGGTCTATTACAGGGCAGTTTTATGCACTGTCCTCTTCAGAAATGCTCGTTAGGTGGTAGGAGAACAAGTGCTGAGGATTTTCTTGTCTGTTCTCGAAGCGTGTCCAGATTTGTAGGACTGTGTTCAGGGAGTGAGCCTTTGATACAAGTTCCTACACAACCCAGCACTAACTTTCTTGTCTTCTCCAGGACCTACAAATAGAACGCGAGAGGAGCTCGTATAATATATCCGGTGGCTGCACAGCCCTCATTGTGATTTGCCTTTTGGGGAAGCTGTATGTGGCAAATGCTGGGGACAGCAGGTAAGCAAATTGGTTGTCTGGTTCTTACTAATTTCCCCCACTTTCTGTTCATTTTTATCTTTTCATTAAAATTAAAAGATTAGAAATAATTTTGCTTGAGATTTGATAATGAGAAATATAAAGCTTCAGTGCACATAAGAACAGTCAGGTTGGTCAAGGCAGTCTCGTTCAAAGTAGTAGTTCACAGGTATACCTGCAGTTGCTCTAAATCCCTGGTTTTCAAATGTTTTTTTGGCTTCAGAACCTGTTTTTCAGTGAAGGCTTAGCAGAGAAAGAATCTGTGAGAGGAATACGGGGGAGGCAAGGGATTTGGATGTAGTGGACATTCGCAGGGGAGCCTGGCAGGACTCACCAGCTGGTTGCACTTCCCCATGGTGACTTTGTGCTGCCCCTCCCAGGAGCCCAGGAGTTTCTCCTTTTATGCACCAGCTCTTAGGAGCTGCAGTCCCACCTCTTCTGGGTTCCACTCAAGGGATCTTTGGCCAAGAGATCATGATTAACCCTTGCTTTACTGAGCATTGCCAGGGAATAAGATAAACTTGTATTTTAATTTTATTTTAAATAGCTGATACTTCTTCACTTCTTTATTTCTTAAATTGCTTTATTGGTACATTGTAGGTATACAACACAATTACATTTCTCACTGAGAATTGTACCTTTACATAATGCATCTTGGTTCTTATTTTTTTCCCATTCCTAGCCCTCCCTTC